CACATACTCCTTCAACCGCCGATAAAAAATTCGGCAGCATAACAACATAAAGAAAGTATTTCTCAAGCTAAAACCCTCTTTTCATTCTTGGCATTTCACTCAAAAAACTAATTCCAACTATATACAATCACAAAACCAACAAAATTCTTACAAAATAGCATTTTCAAATTAACTCTAATTATTATAAAATTATATATAAAATTCGTTCAAAATTCATAGAAAAATGAAAAACACTATAAACATCATTTTGAATCAATATTTTCTGTCTCATTGATCATTATAAGATTACAAATATCCTATATTAGCAATATCAAGCCAAGAACAAATCATTTTTTACCAAATATAAAAATATCAATAAAATAGCAATGATTTTTACAGAAATCGCACGTCATTTTTCGTCACTAAAATAAACTCCAATTGTAATGAAAATTGGTATACTAGTACATTTCAATATGTAGTTTTGAATGATAAAACTACTCTAATCAAAAAATGCACGAAATTTAAATTAAAAATTATTGAAATAAATCAGTCAAAATTCGTAGAAAAATACAATCATCACAAATATCTGATTTTGATCACTAATTTTCATCTTAATAATCATCCTAAGGCAAAGCAAATCATCTACAATCATTCTCAAGTCAATAAAACACCAAACATTAGCAATTTTCAACACCCCACAATATTAAAATGGGCAAAAAATGAGGAGATATTTAAACAACAAAAATCAACTAATAAAACAATCCATAATCTTAAATAAATCAATCCCATAATCTAGAAATCTAAGCATATTGGAAGAAAATGAAGAAAAACTATAGAAATCACAAACCCATGTACTTTAAAAAAGAGAGGATGAAACATAGAGGAAGCCAATGAGAGAGGAACCGGACGGTGTAGGAGAAGCACTTTCACGCCAGCGAGGGACTAAGGTGGTCGACGGCAACAATGGAGGCAGATTGAGAGATTTCTATTGATTTCTTGTAGAAGAGGAGAAGAGAGAAAACCAGGACGACGAACGGGCGGGAATGAAAAAATGAACTTGAAAACTGAATAAAAATGAGAATAAATGACGGGTATTCATATACCCATCATTTATTCCAGAATATATGACGGGTGTTTTAACACCGGTCATATATAAGAAAGGCTTTAAATGATGATTGTTTTAAACAACTGTCATTTAAAGCCTAAAATTCTTTTACTTTTTTTAAATAAAAAAAAATCAAACGTTGGCCAGGAATATATGATAGGTGTTTGACAAACCCGTCATATATAGTTCTGGACTTTAAATGACGGGTGTTTTAAATACCCGTCATTTAAAGTTTTAAAAATTTTTATTTTTTTTATTTTAAGAATATGAATCAGCGGGCACCAATGTATAATGGTTTTTTTTTATAACTGTCATATATTGTTTAAACTTTATATGATGGGTATTTAAAATACCCATCATTTAAAGTTCAAATTTATTTTTTATTTTTTTTCTTCCAGTAAATGAAATGTTGGGCTGAAATAAATGATAGAGTTTTTTAATACCCGTTATTTAAAGTCTAGTAATATATGATGGTTTTTTTAAGACCCGTCATTTATTTTGTCACCATCACCCGCCTATCTCATATATGACGTGTTTTTATTTGACCGTCATTTTTCATGGCGTCTTATATTTACGTTTTTGCAGCAGTGTCTACTTGAAAGTAGATTTTTGTGAATGTTTTAGATAGATCTCTGTCTTTCTTCTAGTTGCTTTTTTGTGGTATCAGCCACTTATCTGGATGAACTACATATGGTTGCTAATAAGGGTACATATTTTTAGATTAACAGCATTTGCTGCTCTTATCATAGCCGTTGGAGCTATAGATAATGTCATCAAAGCATGTGAATGCTCAGAGTTAAAGCCATTATGATTAGACTGGCATAGTTGTACACATATGATTTACATTAAAGTTTGAACCTAGGATATCTTCCAAGTGGGGGAGTTAGTGTTGCTACTAGGACAACTAGCCATTGATATAATATAATATTTTTTTTTAAGCACAAATTATGCATATATTTCTTTGATTACTTTATATGTTGTGAATTAAGTTTCTTTAAATGTATAAGACTTCTTAAGAAAAAGGAGATGTCTATATAATTTAGACAATTATTAAAAATATGTGCTATTTTGTTAACAAATTAAAACTATATTTTCAATTTAAAAAAGTTCAAAAAATAAACATATACCGTCTGATTGTGATAAGAAGTAAAAAAAAAAAAATTGGAGAGAATTTATTTAAAAAATTGTTATTCATTGAAGAATGAAGAGGGAGCCTGCAGTAAATTGGAAGACCTCTCATGAATTTCATGTTTTATATTGATATTAATATACATGTGTGGAAACTTCCAGCATTAACCTTATGCTTAGTATAAAAGCTTGTTGTGAGACAGGGTTTCTTTTGTCACGTACGTTTGCCATCCCGTGAGTATAGCTGGCTTATGTACATAGTCGGCTCCAACGTTTGAATGCGACATGCAGGACCACAACAATTATATTTGATCTTAATTAATTATTATCTCTTCTTCTAATTTTATTTATAAGTCATTAATTCTACCCGTCTTATGAAAACTAATGAAAATTTAAAAACTCGTTGACTGTATTTAAAATTTTAATAAATTTATAATTTTGCCTCTATTTATAAAGGAATGGGTGAGAAGTCTGACAAAATTTTCAATAATGCACACCAACATTTGATTTGAGGTAAAAATATGTTTCTGTTGGTCTTTTTTGTAGTAGTGTTGTGATAAAAAAAATTAAATATATGCTTTATAATTAGGATAAAAAAAAGTGTTATTTTTTTGGATCCATGATCTTCTCATTTTATTACTCAAAGATGCTTTAGACCATGTTTGGTATACAATAATCTTGAAGATGGAAAAGGAATTGGAAGAGGATTCCATACACAAGCAAGTTTGGTACAACTGAATTTGCATGCTCAAGAATCCCAATTCCAGCAAATGAGGCATAATCCGATTCCATCATGATACCCAAATTAAAGAATATGTTTGGGAATCTCAATTCTAATTTTAAGTCCGATTCTAATGTTTTTTGTTTCAAAAAAGTCTTCCATCATACTAAACGGGGCTTAGGGAATCCTGAATTCATTCCACAACGTCCTTGGAAGATGATTGATTCACGGGCACATGTAAATGTCTCTTTCTTGCATCGTTGCATTACAGCTTGTTATGTCTCACAACTTGCTTGAAAGATCCAAACACTACTTCGGAAATATCTTCATCTGCCAAAGGTTTGGGGACCGTGGGAAGGCAACAATGATTTTTGATGATCCCTCATTTTTTATTATGACTAAGGTGTTTTTGTTTGTATTTTGGGAGTCATCAATGAAAAAGATCGAAAAGTATTTCCTTGCTTTTGTAAAGACAAAGTAACTACGTCGATCCAAAAAAAAAAGTCAAAGTAACTAAATGCATCATATGGGTTTAATGTATTATTTTTTAAGAAAATGGTTTGAGATTGTTGAAATTGAAGTAGGCAAGTGGCTAGCTCACTCATAAGTATTAATCTTGATAGGTGTGCATGAAAAAACTTTAGGCAATAAAGAGGAGAAATGATAGAGGTAGAAATCAATTTTTGGAAGACTCACTGAAGATGGAAGTGCCACGGCACCTGTCCGAACTCAAAATATTGAGTTTCATTTTCTGAGTAAAAAAGAATCCTTTTTTCATTTTTATTTTTTGGGCAGAGAGAGCCATCTTTAATTACAATTTTTCAATTTTTCCCTTTATTAAAATTAATGACATAAAATGTTGTATAGAAATTAAAAGGATGCTAACAACTTGTTACAATAAATGAGGGGTAAGGCTGGAAAAAATTAAATACTTTATCTTTGCCATATATTTAATTTAGAACCATAATAGAGTGTTAAAACTTTGTCCTATAATTAACACTTGAGGAGTAAGTATGCGTTTATCAAATAAATCATATGTGGAAGATTTGGAAAGCGGTAGATATAGAGGGAAAAGAGATGGTAAGTGTAATGATGTTATATGGAGAATCATATTCAAAGACTCTTTAAGTAAATTAATTATAGGTAAGGACTAAGAAGAAGTTCTATTCTAGAAAAAAAATAAATCTCATTCCTATTTTGATAATAATTCATTTCGTAATGGTCCTTGTTTATAAATAATTTAATTGATTGATCCTTAAATATTATTCTCCTTATTATATATCACATATGAACTCCCCCCCCCCGTGCGCGCGTGTGTGTATATACATTTACATTTTTTTAAATTATTTTCACTGTCTTCAATTATATATAGGCATGGTTAATGTAGAAAAATTATCTCAAAAATAAAATTGAGTTGGAGCCAAATCTCTTTCGTCGTATTGATTATTTCGTGGAGAGATGAGGAGTGGGCAAAACATAGAGCTAATCAATTTTTTATTCAGCATTATCAAAAACTTTTTTTTAAAAAAGTACAACGCGATATTACGCATTTAAGTCTCATTTAGACTTCTTATACATTATTAGTATAAAAACACTTACAGATTTGAAATGTTCATTGCGTCTCCCCAACCTCATCTAATGTCTAAAATCTCAACCCTTTATTTGAGACATCAGAATTAGATGAAATTTCAACTTATCATAATTTTTTCCCATTCAACAAGAGAATTAATAGAAGTTACGTACTTTTCAATTGATTTAACTCTCTCTCAGTGACAATAAGAATTGAGTGTGTAAATAGATAGAACTTAAGACACTAGAAATACTGAAAAAAAAAATTAAAATACTAATACCAAAAGACCGTAGAGACCAACAGTTATATTTTTCCAAAATTATTAAAAAACATTATTAGATTGAGTTGGAGCCCAACCTCTTTTGATATTGATGGTTTCGTGGGGAGATGTGAAGTGGCCGAAATTAAACAGAGCTAATTAACTTTTCAATCAGCATTATATTTATTTCAAAACATTTTTTTGGAATACAAAACACGTATGAAATGAAACGTTTAAATCTGATTTAGACTTTCTACACATTGTTAAGATGAAAACACACACACAGTGATAATAATAACATGACTCCAATTAAGCAGATAAATCCAGATATATAATCAATACAAACTCTCTCAGTGCGCGCGCGCGAACATGCTCTGCGTTAAAAAACAAAAACAAAGTTTATTCAAGCATAATTACATGGTGCTAAAAAATCATAAGAAAGAAACTTAAAAGTTCCCTATAACAGGGGTGGAAAGAGGGGGGATCAGCAGGGGTCATGGCCCCCCTAACTTTTTAATTTTTTCTTAATAAAATATAAAAATTATATATTTTCAACTCTTCTAAATTGACATATTATAAAAGTTATGAAATACTGGATGGAATTTTCATTTCAATTATACATGTAATTTTTTATGTATGTATAGAGCAAATATTCCAATAGTTTCAAGATATGATTATCATAGAATTTACTTATTTTCAACAAGATAATGCTATACATGCTCTTAAAGTATTGACGTCATTTTATTTTGCTTTCATTTTATATTTGATGAATTATTATTAACAAACTTTGTTAAGTATTGCAACAAAAATCTCAAGATATATTAAATGCTATGTGCTTGATATTTTTCATAAAATCACTTATCCAAAAGTTGAGAAGTTTGGTGCAAGTGTTCTTCTAGAAAAGAAATTACTTTTTTTAATAATCAACCTATTGAAATTTATGATATAAATGAATTTTACTCTGATATAATTTGATCTTATTGACATAAAGATTTTATGAAAATTGAGCACTATTACTACATTGATATATTTATTTACTATGATTATCAATTAAAAAAATTAAATAATAAATTTAATAAACAAGTAATAAAGCTTATTATACTGAACAGAACTTTAGATTTCAATGACACATGTAAATCATTTAATGCTCATAGAGATAATAAATTTTCACTAATTTAATAATAATTTATATTGAGAAGGAAATTGCTAAAATGTTTATCGTAGACGTAATAACTAATGATTGTTATATAAAAAATTAATGAGCAAAACTTTATATATATATATATATATATTGTTATATATGTATAAAATTAAATATAAATAATATTTTTTTAATTATCATGTATACTTTGTTATCTCAGCCCCTTCTAATAAAATTTTTTGACTCCACCCCTGCCTTGGAACACGTAGGTGCAACAAAGTAAACTAGAAAATGGAAACATACATATGTAAAACAATGGAGAGGATTAGGGACACACACACACACATATCATTATGATCTTCATCCGTGGCAACCTTTGGTAAAGTCGCCACAAGGTTGTTTAGTTGACGGAGGACTTTTCGGAGGGACGCTGCTAGTCGTATATCGTATGTTTTGAGGACAACCAGGATTATTATTTGGATCACCCGAAGGATACGTATCAGTGTTTGGCTTAATCGTTTCAGCCAGAGAGACTGTGATAGGATCAATGGAGAAACTGGTCTCCATAAGATCTTTCACATAACTGATGTTGCTGCTGCTGCTGATGCGCCATGAGTCGGCATGAGCCAGGTCGAGCCTAAGGAATAAAGTCATTGGGGTCGCGATCGTAGGAAAGAGAAGCAGTTTGGAGAGGCACTTTGATTTCTTCATTGGATCTCTTTATTATCAATCTTCGCTTCTTAGCTCTCTGACTCTGTGCTACGCACTCTTAAGAAACTCGCTGAGACGTCCTACGTCTCTTTATATTGGTAAACGAAAAAGGTGATCAAGGCGAGAAACTTCACTGCATGTTTCGACAAGTGACTTGTGAGATGGAGAATTAATCATCGCAAGAAAGAGGACAATTATTCGACGTTATCCAGAGAGAAATAAAAGAAAGGACGACCTTTCGAATTACATCTACTTGATAAGACATGACTATTTAATTTAATTTTTTTTCAAACTATAAAGAGTAGACATTACTGCTGTCAGAAGATTATTTCCCCACGCAGAGTATTGAAAGTAAATAAAAATATTTAACAATCATATTAACTTTAATTATTTTTTTATTTTAATCAGTTATAACTTTAATCTTTAAACTTTAAGTCTTGTAATTTAATTTTTATAATTTTAAATATTTAAAAATATTGGTTTCAAGTTTGACTCGGTTATGTTTGAATTCAGAACTTCTTCCAAAGAGCAGATAGTATTGCCACTATTTGGACAACTAGCCATTGACACAATTTAATATTTTTTAAAGTACCAATTATGCATATATTCTTTGATTGCTTTTTTTTAATTATAAATTAAGTTTCTTAAAATGTACAAACATCTTATGAAAAAGGAGGTGTCAATAGAATTCAGACAAAATTCATTAAAAATATGTGTTATTTTGTTAAAACTATATGTGTGCAATTTAAAAAAGTTCAAAAAATAAGCATATACCTGTAATTTATTTTCATAAAATTTATATATATGGATTTCCTGTTCATGATTCGTACCACGCCGGATTGTGATGAGAAGTAATAAAAAAACTGGAGAGGATTTCTTTAAAAAACATTGTCATTCATTGAAGAATGATAAGGGAGCCAGCAGTAAGTTGGAAGACCTCTCATGAACTTCATGTTTTATATTGAATTGAATATACCACATTTTAATAATATATTGATATTAATATTCATGTGTGGAAAAACTTCCAGCATCAACCTTATGTTTGGTATAAGTGTTCAATGGTTGTGTGTGTGAGAGTTTATTTTCTCACGTACGTTTGCCATCTCGTGAGTATAGCTGACTTATGCACATAGTAGACTCCAAAGTCTGAATGTGACATGTAGGACCACCACAATTATATTTGATCTTAATTAATTATTATCTCTTCTAATCTTATTGATAAGTTATTGATTCTACCTGTCTTACTAAAACTAATAAAATTTTAAAACTAATTGACTATATATTTAAAATTTTAATAAATTTATAACTTGCCTTTATTTATAAAGGAATGGGTGAGAAGTCTAACAAAATTTCGATTCCAATTCTAATTGGATTCTGATTCTAATTTTTTTCAAAAAGTCTTCCGTTATACTAAACGGGGATTAGGGAATCCCAAATTCATTGCACAACGTGCTCGGAAGATTATTGATTCACAGGCACATGTAAATGTCTCTTTCTCACAGTTTCTTGCATCGTCACGTTACAGCTTTTTATTTCTCCCACTCACAACAGGATTGAAAGATCCAAACACTGCTTCAGAAATATCTTCATCCGGCAATGACTTTTTTCACAAAATAAATTAGAAGGTCAAAACTTATCTAAATCTAAAGAGATAGATATAGATAACTAAATTATGAATAATTTAAGAGTCTGTAGCGACATACTGTTGCTTTACAGTTTAGTTAGAAAAAAAATTTGGTGAGAGCTAAATTTAACTTTAAATAAATACATTTTAATATACTAAAAAGTGATTAGGATACTTTAAAAATAATATAATTCTCGCTATAGATTTTATATATACTAAGTTGTTTGTATTTTGAATTAAAACTAGTTGAGAGAATAAATGCTTGTACATTTTGAATCACACGGGGTATAACATGACTCCGATTGAGTACGTAAATGAAGATAGAAACAATACAATGTACACCGCACCCCCCCCCCCCCAAAAAAAATAATTAAAAGCATTATTCAAGCATAAAAAAACCAAGAAAGTGAAATGAAGGAGAGGATTAGGGGTACACACACATATCATGATCATTATGGTCCATGGCAGCTGTTTCCTCTGGTAAAGTCACCACAAGGTTGTTTCTTGGACGGAGGACTTGCCGGAGGGAGGCAGCCAGTGTATTGTCTTTCTGGAGGACATCCAGTCAGAGCTTTATTATTTGGATCACCCGTACCACCCGTAGGAGTCATCATAGCCAGAGAGACTATGAGAGGATCAACTGAGAAACTCGTCTCCATTAGATCTTTCACATAGCTCATGTTCTTGCTGCCGCTGCTGCTCCCCCTCGAGTCGGCAAGAGCCACCCCAAGGCTAAGCAATGAGGTGAATGTAAGAGAGAGAATAATGCATTTCTTCATTCTCTCTTAATTATATATATATATATATATATATGATGGACTCTGTCTCTGATAATCTGAGAGCCACTTAACTTGCAGAGAACTTACCGACACGATGTCTATTTATATTGGTGCTCCAGAGGGCCAGAGATGGAAATTTCATCTTCATTACTGTGACTTGCCTGATCCGTTGACAAGGATCAAAAGAAGACAGAAAATCAATATTTTAATATGGCATGGATGATTGGCATCTTTTTTTAGAATAGTACGACGTTTTGTTTTAATATCTTTTCATAACAATTAATTAGTGTCTCGCCCAGACCAATATGTGTATAGGCATATATTTATATCTTTAAAACACGGAAAATACCACTCCAAAATATTATATTTAATCATGTTTTATTTTTACTCTGTGTGGTTTTTTTCGTATTTTGGTATATATTTTTTAAACTAGTTAGCCTAAGATTGCGTGTAAAACAAATAAAAGGAATGAATATCGATGAAAATAAATACGAATTATAATTCGGTAACTATATTTAGTATAGGCAACTAAGTTATTGAAATCCAATAATTTAAATAAATTTATTTATTCATTAATTTCAAATAGAGTATGAATTCAAAACCATTGACTTAAATTTTAATAGCTCTAATAATACAGACAGTCAATGCATGTACTAATTATAGTTACCAAGTCCAAATTTAACAAATCTAGTTACTACAACAACAAACATAAATAAGCCTTATCCCATTAGATGGTTGGGATCCACTACATAAATTACATTAAATGAACTAATGCTATGTTTGGATGCATAGAGATTTGGATTTGAATTTGAATTTGAGCCAAATTTATTATTTGTATAATTAAAAAAGTGGATTTGGATTTGACCCAAATTCAAATTCAAATTTTATCTCAATTCTTTGTAATTTGAAATCCTTTTTAAATTCATATTATTTTAAATTCTACATCAATCTCTTTGTAATTTGACTCGCCCGTGCAAAAAACAAAAAGAAGAAAAAGGAGGACCATTCCAGTTTTTTTAATTGATATCTTCATGGTTTAAAATCCTCTAAAGAAATTGTGAATTTTATGAATTTTTTTAAGAAAAAAGTAACAATTTATATTTTATAAAAAATAATATAATGAACAACAATATTAAAAAGTGAAAACTTCACATTAATTCATAAATTTTAATTTTTAGAAGATTTAAATTCCTCCACATGGGGCATGCACATATACTTAATAAGACATGACAATTTAATTTTTTTTAGTACGAATTTACACATGTTTCTTTGATTACTTATTTTGATACAATTATTCGATTACTTTAATATTATAAAGTTTCGTAATGTATAAACATATTATACTAATAAAGGAGATATATCTATCTAATCTAGAAAATAATCATAAAAATTGTGTTGTTTTGTTAACAAAACTATGCAACTTAAAAAAGTTTAAAAAAATAAACATATACCAGTAATTTATTTTCCTTTTGTAACATGCATTTATAAATCGAAATCATTATATATATATATATATATATATATATATGGGTTCCTGTTATTCCCCGCCTGAGTGAGCCTGTAAGTTGGATTGACTCATTCTTTATAATTAAGATTAAAAAAAAAGTGTTGTTTTTTTGGGATTCATGTATCTTCCCATTTTACTCATAGTTTAGGCCATGTTTGGAATAGAAGAATCTTGAAGATTAAAAGGGAATTGGTAGAGGATTCCATACACAAGTATGCATGTTTGGTACAACTGAATTTCATTTTCAAGAATCCCAATCCTAGCAAATTAGGCAGATTTGATTCTATCATGATATCCCAAAAAACATGTTGGGAATCTCAATTTTATTTTAGTTTCGATTCCAATTCTAATTCTAAATTCATTTTAATTTATTTTTTTAAAAAATTCTATCATTATAACCAGGACCTTAGGGAACCCAAATTCATTCCATAACGTGCTTGGAAGATTTTTGATTCACGGGCACATATATGTAGGTGTCTCTTCTTGAATAGTTGCATTACAGCTTTTTATGTCTCCAACTTGCTTGAAAGATCCAAACACTGCTTTGGAAATATCTTCATCCGCAAACGAGTCTTGCCACATGATGTTTGGGTCCAGTGGGGAAGCGCCAGTGATTATATATTATTAATTTACATTGTAATATCAGAATTACTATTTTAAACTAATTTATAATTTAAAAAAGAACATTACATAATAAATAAAATTTAGATGTAACGATTTAATTTGGTGCATGGATTGGGTGCGTGCTTCCTTCACGGAGTGTCATATACAGACCACCTTCTTCTATGGATTTCGATTGGGATGGTTACTATAATTGTTTTACAATTTTTTTTATGGTAAGAGTGTAAATTTTGGTTCCTACTTTACATTATATTCTTTTCCATTTTATCACCTAAACCAACTCGTGTGGCTTAATCATAATATCTAAATGACTAAATGAGATTAAATTTAATTTATTCTGGTGGCAAGCATGCCCCCATAGCTTTGATATTATATGTATGAAATTCGTTTCTAAATTTTATAGTGTTTAATACACATAATATAATACCTGTGTACTCAGATCAAGATATAATGAATGAATCAGATTGCACTTTCTTCGTCTTTGTTGTTTAGTTTCTTCTTCACTCACACACTCAACCTAGATCGGTACTCTTGATTTTTTACTTTTCTTGAGTACATCAGTTTCATGACTTCAAGGATCCACACGTTTTTATGGAGTGGGATTTTTACTTTTCTAGTCATGAAAAGGGTTGTGTACATCTACATTGTTTCGTGGGCTTCAAGGATCCACACATTTTTATGGAGTGGACGCGAGCTAGGAATGTACATATAGCCACGACACTGTTTATGGGATGCAGTGGCGTCTCTACCATATTGACTTTGATGATTATCACCAGACCCGATTCCCATGCATACAGGATGTTGATGATGATTCTCAAACTAGTCACTTTTTTAGTGACTTCGATATACTACTCTACTTGAAAGTAGATTTTTATGAATGTTTTAGATAGATCTGTCTTTCTTCCAGTTGCTTTTTTGTGGTATCAGCCACTTATCTGGATGAACCACATATGGTTGCTAACAAGGGTACATATTTTTAGATTACCAGCATTTGCTGCTCTTATCATATCCGTTGGAGCTATGGATAATATCATCAAAGCATTGGAATGCTCAGAGTTAAAGCAATTATGATTAGACTTGCATAGTTGTACACATATGATTTAACATTAAAGTTTGAACCTAAGATATCTTCCAAGTCGGGGAGTTGGTGTTGCTGCTAGGACAACTAGCCATTGATACAATATGATATTTTTTTAAGTACAAATTATGCATATATTTCTTTGATTGCATTATATGTTGTGAATTAAGTTTCTTTAAACGTATAAGACTTCTTAAGAAAAAGGAGATGTCTATATAATTTAGACAAATTATTAAAAATGTGTTATTTTGTTAACAAATTAAAACTATATTTTCAATTTAAAAAGTTCAAAAAATAAACATATACCGTCTGATTGTGATAAGAAGTAAAAAAAAATGGAGAGAATTTATTTAAAAAAAATTGTTATTCATTGAAGAATGAAGAGGAGCCTGCAGTAAGTGGAAGACCGCTCATGAATTTCATGTTTTATATTGATATTAATATACATGTGTGGAAACTTCCAGCATTAACCTTATGCTTAGTATAAAAGCTTGTTGTGAGACAGGGTTTCTTTTCTCACGTACGTTTGCCATCCCGTGAGTATAGCCGACTTATGTACATAGTCGGCTCCAACGTTTGAATGCGACATGCAGGACCACAACAATTATATTTGATCTTAATTAATTATTATCTCTTCTTCTAAGTTTATTTATAAGTCATTAATTCTACCCGTCTTATGAAAACGAATGAAAATTTAAAAACTCGTTGACTGTATTTAAAATTTTAATAAATTTATATTTTGCCTCTATTTATAAAGGAATGGGTGAGAAGTCTGACAAAATTTTCAATAATGCACACCAACATTTATTTGAGGTAAAAATATGTTTCTGTTGGTCTTTTTTGTAGTAGTGTTGTGATAAAAA